GGTTCAAGCAATTGTTCTGCCTCAGCCTCCCGAGTAGCTGGGACTATAGGCACATGTCACCATGCCCAGCTAATTTTTGTATTTTTAGTAGAGACGGGGTTTCACCATGTTGGCCAGGATGGTCTCGATCTCCTGACCTCGTGATCCACCTGTCTTGGCCTCCCAAAGTGCTAGGATTACTGGTGTGAGCCACCGCACCCAGCCTAAAAGTTATTTTTAATCAGGTTGGTAGCACATGGTTTACTCTTGGTTAAATAGAGAATATTTTACCCTATAATCGTATTTGATCTCTCACCTGTCAGTTATTCTGACTCACTTTTTTGATTATCAAATGGTACCATTGATAATATTTACTAGTTTTTTATATACATATAAATTTGGGCCAGGGGTCGTAGCTCATGCCTGTAATCCCAGCACTTTGGGAGGCCAAGGCGGATGGATCACTTGAGCCCAGGAGTTCAAGACTAGGCTGGGCAACATGGCAAAACTCCTTTTCTACAAAAAAATACAAAAATTAGCTGGGCATGGTGGGAGGTTGCATCTGCAGGAGGTTGAGGCTGCAGTGAGCCATGATTGTACTATTTCGCTCCAGCCTGGGTGACAGAGTAAGACTCCGTCTTATTCATTCATTCATAAATTAATCGATTTTTTAAAATAAGTAAAAATATAAATATTTGGATAGGTTTAATCTCTCTCAGTAACTTGAATGCATTTTTTTTTTCAGATTCAGACATTCACACAGCTTGAAGATGATCTAAAAGATGAAGATGAGTCATTGAGGTAAGTAGTACAAGATCTGTGCACGGGAGGAAAAGATGGTCAAGATTAAAGGACATCACGTGAGATGCAGGGTTATCTAACGCTAAATACTGTTTCCTTTTTGAAAGGACCAGCTATTCCAAAAATTTCTTAAAAGGAAAATTCTTCTTAGGGACATATCATAGGCGAATGGACTATTCACAGAGCTGAACGAATTTATAACAAGCGTTTCTTTGCACATTTATAGAGGCAGCAACAAAGTAAACAGAACAAAAGTTTCAGTCCCGGATGGAAATGGACCCTCAGTGGGGGAGATTCCCCAGAGTGAACTCATCTTGTATTTATCTGCTTGCAAATTCCTGGACACGGCGCTTTCTTTTCCACCTGACAAGATGCCATTATTTCAAATGTAAGTCAGATCGAATCGTTTGTCCTTCTTGGAGTAGATTTCTTTTTCCCTTTTAAGCACTTTCACTTGTTTTTTTCATGTACAGTCTACGCGAAACCACCATCTGGGTTTCTAGTGACAGCTGAGCCAGCTCAGAATACCAAGTTTCAGATTACTTGCAACATCTGTGGCTCTGTGAATTTGGCTCACAGGCGTGTTTATGAATGTGTTTCTATGGGGGGG